GAAAGTCTTCCGCCTTTTGTGTTGGACGTGAAGACGAAAGACTTTAGAAACGTCGTTCTCTACACTTGTGTCTCTACAACAGGCAGTTGCCGTCCATTCTACAAAGTTTGTTTCTTTGTTTGTAATTAAGCACAAAGCTACACAATACCCGTTTCGATACCCATGGTGAGCAGAGCACACGGGTATCAAAACCCAGATTCTAGCGTTGTAAGTCAGCAGACATACCGCTGTGCCACTGGGGGGCCTTCTACAAAGTTTGTTTCTTTGTTTGTAATTAAGCACAAAGCTACACAATACCCGTTTCGATACCCATGGTGGGCAGAGCACCACGGGTATCAAAACCCAGATTCTAGCGTTGTAAGTCAGCAGACATACCGCTGTGCCACTGGGGGGCATCTACAAAGTTTCATCATATTATTAAGTAGTTTGTAACATACTCTTTACTGGTTAAGGATTTAGAGGTTTTTACTTAACAACAAAAATTGAGCTGCTGTCCTGGAATACCTTTCCAGTCCTAGAGTAAGCTGAAAACAGAAAGGAAGGTAATAATTACTTTCAATTTTTTACCTGTTACTTTTATTTTCTTTTTCCAGGGACTTACGATTTCCAGTCGTTTGAGAAAGTGATTCAGTTTCGGACTGATTCGGCCAGCTCCCGTCCAGGATTTCGAATCAGAGTAACGCAGGAAGAATGTTCTGGAACCTCCGCCCCGACCCTTACAACACCGTTGTCTAAAGATTGCAACAGAATTTTCCGAGAGTTGGAATTTGATATCAGGAGTGAAGAATATCCTCAAGAATATCCCAACAACCGTGACTGCCAATACACCATATACCGTCAGAATAACGTATGTCAGCTTGAACTGACATTTATCAGTTTTGATGTTGAGGGGAACGGAGACTGTCGATACGACTATCTACATGTAGATGGTGAAACATTGTGCGGAGTGCTCCCTGTTGGAGAATCGAGTAAAAAAACAAGTTCTTTTATATGTTTGGGGGATAATCAAGATTTACAGTGAAACGTATAATCTCACTAGAGCCAGTGCTCGAACGAGAAATATTGTAATGACAGCATACAACTAATAATTATATAAAAAATATGCACTGTTCTTAACTCGTATTATGGGCATCCTTTTACAACAATCTTATGTTTACATAAATGTAAGTTTAACAAAAACGTAAACATATACAAAAGTGTCAAGTGGTACCGTAAGTAATGACATACTAATGTAATTATATCTACTTATAGGTTTATTTTTGAGAGAAAACAGTATATAAATATGTGTACGATTGCTCCTTAACAAATTGTTTATTTATTAGAACGTACATTCACAGCCGATTAGCGATCAGTTCTTTATATATATATATACTTGCAAGAAATCTCTGAAAGCGGTGTTCATCTTTTTTTCAAAACACTTAATTTCAAAGTTCAGCACTAGATGACAATTCCAGGGTTCGCGCCCACAGATGCTGATCGTCATGTGGAAAAAGGGTGCCCCGCGGGAAGTAAAAAAGTGTTTCTTTACTGATGATATAAGAGGATTTCCGGTTGTTTACTGTCCTATTGTTTTCCTCTATGGGTGCCTCCCGGGAGGTAAAAAGTGTTTCTTTA